TACTTACTAAACATGTTGCCTTGAAAGTAAATTTTTGAAAATTTTGAATTCTTAGAAAATCTCGTTCCTTAACCCTGTGTTTAGAAAAAGTTTTAAGAAAACATTTGTTTTTCTCAGGATAAAACCTAGCTTAGTGGTTTGAAGCTAAATGAAATAACTTATTGGTGGATAGAGGTAAGGTGTTACGCTAAGATCAAAGAAAGACTGCCTGAAATAATCAATTGTCGCAAAACCTCAGAAAACATGCATTTATGCTTATTGTACGTCTCGAATAAAATAACTTAGCACGTAGTTCTCTATTGCCTTAGTTCACGCCTAATTTTTTTTTTTTCAATTTTCATATTTTCACTTGCGCCATAGGAGTTGAAGAAATGAAGTTTCGGATTCTTTCGCAGCTCTCTTCGTCCTTTAGCTTCCCAAGTTTGTTTCATTAACTATTCTTTTCCCGGTTAATATAATGACCAAGGTGCGCAAAATTTTGCTTTTTGCTGTTCATACTTTTCCTTGAATTATGTTAATTTATACAAAATTTCATCTATTAAAAACAAATACAGACTTTTTTTAAGAAAATAATTAGTAAAGTCACGTGTAAACCCTTGAAACAAAGATTACATAAGCAAGTGTAAAATTATGTGTACCTTCTTTTATTTTGAAGATATATATATCCCTTCAAATTAGAAGAGAGATTTGTGTAATTATAAAATCTAAGTTTGAGTAATTTATTATTTAGCTTCAGCCTTTAAGGGCTATTTTTGAAAGTCTTGACCATGGAAGGGCATATTTATATCAACAACTAACAATAGCAAAATGACAAGCGTCTATAAAATTTTTAAGGAGATATATACATTTAACAACTAACAATACCAACATATATAACAAGTGTCTATATGAAAATTTATAAATTCTAATTTAAATTATAAGAGCTAATAAAAAAATTTATAATTGTTCAGAAGTAAATTTACAAGTGCACACGCATATTTCAATAACTTTCAATAACAGAATAATAAGTTTAATTGGAGAACTCAACCTCATGAATATAAGCAACCTAAGTCCTTATAATTTAATTTCTATTTTTAAGGAAAGCTTGTGTTGGTTTGACAATAGAAAAGAAGTATGTAAAATTATAGGAGAATTTAGGGCATCATTTATTTTAAGACTTTTTTTTTAATAAGAATTATAATGATCTCATATAGAGTTTTAAGTGTCATTTTCTAATTTTTATTCAGTTTACTGCCGGCTGTCTGTGTTATCAATTTTGCGTCTATTTTATTTGCAAGGAGTAGAATCCATCTTCTGTCCTAGCAGTTTGCTTATTTTGGAGGACACATAAATATTTGATGGTTATTTTTACATATATTTAACGGCTACGCATCGTGAAATATAGGTGTGTGATGTATTGTTTGAGTAGAATATTTGATAGTTTCAGTTTATCAGGCATCAAGCAAAGGTATTTATATTAAAAAAAAAAGCAATTTATGTTATGTGAATATTAATATCAATACATAAATAAATCATGTAAAAACCCCCAATTTTATAACAAACTAACTATTACTGATTAAAAAAAAAATGATAATCACTACTGTAAATTGTACTCATCCGGTCCTTAATATAAGACCCATTTAACTAATTTGATTAGATTAAGAAAGTTAGATAAGTTAGTTAATTATAATAAATGTGACACATTTTTTCTAAAACACCATAATCATCTTTCTTAATACCTCCTTTCCTTCTTTTACTTAATTATGGTTGAGGGAGTATTTATAGGGGTAATTTAGAGAAAATTGATAAATATAAGAAATAGGTAATATATTTAGGACTAAAACCAACTTAATAATTGGATCCTATATTAAATCCTCAAAACACAACAATTTTAAATTTAAAAATAAATTTATGACTAAAGTCAAAGTTAAAATACAACTCTTTCAGTTTCTATGCATGTTAAGCAAAACCAAAGGAATCGCATTAATCGGGGGGGGGGGGGATATTACGTTCTTACGATGCAGAGTAATGAGAATGCAGAAAAAGCAAAATATAATAGTAGCAAGATAACATGGCAAAATTCATACCACTCCTAATCCTTCACCGATGTACGCAACACATTGATAAATCATTCATAACTACCTTCATGGACACTATGTCATAAACTCTAATATAACTAATCTATAAAACTCACAAGTCTCACTAACTTTATGCCTTCACCGTTAACATTTCTAAACACCCAGAGCCGGGGAAAAAAAAAAAAAACAAAGATCACGTCTTTGAAAATCTTGAGAACAACAAAGTAGGGAGTGTTAAGAGAAATCATACTTAAGTTAATGGAGGTTAAAAAAAAAAAACAAAAGGTGGTGCGGGAGTTTTGAGAGGAGGAGGAGGAGGAGGAGGAGCAACGACCATCGGAACGTAATACAAAAAGGAGGCTTGTTAAAAAAAAAAAAACGAATCCCAGATCAGATCATTAAAAAATTTGAGAACAAAGTAAAGGGTGCTAAGATGAATCATATCGGGGTTGATGGAGGCAAAAAAGAAGGCATAGTAGCTCTTAAAGAATGAGGAGGAAGAGAGGCGACGTTAATTGCTACATTTCTTACCCTTTCTGAATGACATTGCTCCTCAAAATATTTTCAGATACCAGCAACTTGTGAATAGAAACTTTCGAGGTGAAATTGAATCCTAAGCATTAAAAAAAAACCTTAATTCTAAAGTACTACCTCCGGTCCTAATTATAAGACCCAGTTGACTAATTTGAGGAGATTAAGAAAAGAAGTTAAGTTAGTTATTTGTAATAAATAAGTGTTGTCTTTCCTAAAATATCTTTACTAATCAATTATATTGGCTAGAACTGCAATTATTAGAAGGATTAACTTAGAAAAAAATACATAAATATGATAGACAAAGTGGATTGGAGTCCTATATTTAGGACCAAAATAAAAGTCAAACAAGGTCTTATATTAAGGACCGGAGGTAGTAGTTTTTAGGGACTTTATAGAAATAATATATTAAGACATTTCAAGGGACCATTTTAAAATTTGGTTGTTATGTCTTTCTCCCAAAATTAAACCCTTCCTCTTATAGGCCTCAAGTGCCCCCCAGCTTCTGGAATATGCTTAACATGAATAAGTTAAAACTCAATAAAAGTGTTAAAGTATAAAACGAAGTGCTCCGTTTTTCTATTTCAATTATAATACTATATCAGGCTATTCTTGCTGCCTAGGTTGCGTGGCTGTGCTAATTTCCAAGATGAACCACAATTTGCTAATTTTGGATAAAAACATAATACCACTGAGTTATATGTTAGTAATTAATATTATTTATTTAGAGGATGCGTGAGATTTCCTTAACTCTTGGTCAGAATTTGCCGAATCCACAGCAAATACATGTATAAGCCAATATATGTGCCGATAACAATTCTTAATTACCTTAGCAAAATGGTTATTTAATTAATTAACTTTGTTCTCATCCAATACAGTTTCTTTATAAGAATCCAATCCGAACTCGTTGACTAATGAATCAGCAAAACAAATAATTTAAAAATAAATGACACAAACTGATTTGTCAAAGGTCGTCCATTGTTACAATTGCTTACTGTGTAAACTATATGCACATGGGGGGCTATGTGTGTGCGGTGTGTGTGTGCGTGTGTGTGTGTGATTCTATAATAATTTCCAGTGTGTGATTAAAGAAAACGCGTGCAATGTATGGGCCAGGTGAAATTGGAATGTTATATATTCTTCATTTCCAAGATTGTGAGATCATCAGTTTTAAGCATATATTAAATAAGTATATATACAGCTGTTATATTGTTGCTCAGAAATTAAAATAAGGTTTTATAGTTACGGCGCCGTCTCTAAATTGCACACTTGGCCAAATATTTGTAATCGCTTTTACTCTTAACAATATGATAGCCCACACCATAAATATAAATATATATATATATATATATAATATTCTTTCTTGCAATTCTAGTTACCAATTCTTAATTACCCATTCGTCAAGCCTTTTAGCCCTTATAGCCACCATGTATGTGTGCGTATGCCAACTCCAAAGTTCAAGCAAAAAATTTGTTTAGTTAATTTCTTGATCTCTATTTCCATTGCTAACTTTTATTTTCTATTATATATATATATATGTATGTATGTGCGATCCAAATGATAGAAAACTACATGACAAATATATTTTATTTTTATAAAAGGAAAATTAATATGAACGTCCTTATTTAATTTGACCTCATTTATAATTAAGCTCTTGTAGTTTTATTTTTCTTTTTTATTGGGTCTTTATAATTTCTTAAATTATAGGTATTGATCCTTATACAAATGATTTATTAATTTATAGAGAAATTATGTTAGTAATTGATGACATGGCTGTCACTAAATGCACATTTGGATCAATTTTGCGACCTAGATGAAAATAAAATCAAAATAAATTAGATTACAAATTACACATAAATGCAACAAGACAGTTGTGAGCATCATATTTTTTATTTTTATTTGATAATAAATAAACTTTATCCCACCATCTTATTTTAAAATTCTCCTTTTTATTTTTCAGTTTGTAGCATCTTACATGTCATCGAGTCAGTATCAACATGAGCCCTAATTAACGTATTCTAGACATATAAACCAATATATATATATATATTTAAGTAAACTGTAGACACTCAAAATGAAAAAAAAATTACATAATTCAATTAAAAATTGTGTAAAATTATTATGCAGAATTTAGTTTTCTTTTATTAGTTACAAGCTAGAAATATTTGATGACTTAATTTCAGTTAATTTTTCTAAATCATATCGTGTACTTGCATGAACTCTGCGTCATTGTTGAATATTTTATCCAGCCGACTCATATCCTTTACGCTTTAAGCTCCTCCGTTTCCAACGAATCCATAACCTAAGCTTTGAATATATTTTGCAAAGCACTATAAATATATAAACATATCCTCCACATTATCATAACAAAACACATCCAACGACGAAGACAAGAATCACAGCAAAAACAAAATGGCATCCATCATCATTGTTCAGCTATTCTTTTCCCTCACTTTATTTTCTTCACTTTTCTCAATATCTTCTTCTTCATCATCAACAAAATCATCTTCCTCTATAGATCTTTGGTGCAACCAAACTCCTCACCCTGAGCCATGCAAATCCCACATGAACCAGTTTAGACCGAACCATCCTTTAGAGTTCAGGAAAATGCTGGTTCGATTAGCACTGGACCAAGCACAAGTCATGCATAAGGAAGCTCAAGAACATGGCCCAAAATGTGTGACCAAGATGCAGAAATATGTCTTTAATGATTGTTTAAAGCTCTATGACAGTACGATCTTCCATCTAAACCGAACCCTCCATGCCCTACACACAGCTTCTTGCTCCCTCTCAGACGCACAAACATGGCTCAGCACTGCCCTCACTAACATCGAAACTTGTCGGGGAGGTGTGCTGGGGCTCGGAGTTGGAGAGTTTACGGCTCAAAATAATGTGAGCGACAATGTTAGGAAGATGATAAGCAATGTGTTAGCTGTAAATGGGAAATTTCTGAAGCAAGAGAATCACACAGAAGAAGAGGTGAAAGCATATCGGTTTCCGAGTTGGTTTTCTGGGCGTGACAGAAGGTTGTTGAGCTTGAAGCGATCTTCGGTGAAGGCAAATCTTGTGGTGGCTCAAGATGGTACGGGCCATTTCAAGACAGTGCAAGCCGCCATTGACGCAGCATCAAGGAGAAAAGTGAAGACGAGGTTTGTGATACGTGTGAAGAAAGGGGTTTATGAAGAGAATATTGAAGTTGATAAGGATAATGAAAATCTCAAGATTATTGGCGATGGATCGAGAGTCACCATTATAACTAGTAGTCGAAGCGTCAAAGATGGAATTACCCCGGCTGCCTCCGCTACAGTAGGTTAGTTATTACCTGCTTTTATATTTTTGTCTGAAATCTAAATTAAAAAATTGATTTTTTTTCCTTAATGAAATTTCTTGTTGGTATATATTTTACATATCTCACTGATCAGATCATCAATAATAAGCTATGCTCTCTTTGATTCTAAATATAGGAACTAGTTGATGACCTTGTTTTGGGCTTAGATATACTCTTTTTGGTTAAATCATTTTTAAATAATAAAATTACAGGCATAGATGGTGCTCACTTCATTGCACGAGACCTCACTTTTAGAAACACAGCCGGTCCTGAAAAAGGTCAAGCAGTGGCACTCCGATCAGCCTCTGACCTCTCGGTCTTCTATCGATGCTCCATCGAAGGCTATCAAGACACTCTAATGGCTCATGCACAACGTCAGTTCTATAGAGACTGTAGGATTTTTGGCACAGTTGATTTCATTTGGGGCAATGCGGCAGTTGTTCTACAAAACTGTAGAATTCTTGTAAGAAAGCCACTTGCAGGGCAAGCAAACATGATCACAGCGCAAGGACGAGGCGACCCGTTTCAGAACACCGGAATATCAATAATCGATTCTCAAATTCGAGCGGCACCGGATTTTAGGCAGGTTTCACACTCACTTGAAACCTATTTGGGTCGGCCATGGCAGCAATATGCAAGGGTAGTTGTCATGAAGACTTACATTGAGGGATTGGTGAATCCGTTGGGATGGTCTCCATGGGGCGATGATGATTTTGCTCAAGATACTTGTTATTTTGGGGAATATATGAACAATGGGGCTGGTTCATCAACAAAAAGTAGGGTAAGATGGCGTGGCTTTCATGTGATAAGTAGTCCAAATGAGGCAAACCAATTCAGTGTTGCTAGTTTCCTTGCTGGTCGCACCTGGTTGCCTCGCGCTGGGGTGCCTTTTACTATTGGTGTTTAATTTAATGTTTGTGCTTGATGCAAGGGCAATTAGCTAGATATAGTTCATTATTATTATTTTTTAATCATTTTTCTTGGGAATATGTTATTTGTGTAATGATATATATAATATTCTTTGATAGATTGATATTTAATGTGTAACATTTGGATTTTTAAAATGGGATGCTTTGTAACTATTTGTCTCTGAAGAACAAATAGTTAGAGGTTAATTTTTAAGTCAAAAGCTTTAGAAAAATTATTTTATTATAAGATTAGAAAGCTATTTAAGTCATAAAAAACCTATAAAGTACTAAGCATTGATTTCTAAAATACGTTTGGTAATTAAGTAGCGATAAAGATTTTATCAACAAAAAAAAAGTAGCATAAAGAAAGAGTAAAATAATAAATTTACGATCCTAAGCCCCAAAAAAAAAAAATTGAGCCATGGCTAAGCCCAATATGTTGAGCTCAAGACACGCCTCATCTGATCAAGATGATGACCTCCATATTTTATAAAAATTGGCCCAATAAAATACTTGAAGAGGAGGCTTTCTCAATAAGCTGCATGTTGTGTGTGTGAACCAAGCATTAAACAAGTACTGCTCTCGTTAACACGCGTCAATCTTCAGCTTTCCTTCTCAGTTCTCCTCTTGTACCACAAGTTTAGAAGGAGAAATATACTAACAAACACTTAATTAAACTGGTAGGGAGTTCATCTAGCTTAATGAGTGATTTTGTATTTGAGTCTTGGAGATGCAGTTGCATTAAAATTTGTTCAAGTCCTCATACAAAGCTCGATCGGGATTAATCGGTTGCTCGGATGCCTGATAATATGATCCAAAAAAAAACCGCCGGACATCAAGTAGCCCAGATGATGATGATGATGATAAAAGAAATAGTGAGGAACCGAGAGAGACCAAGAGAGAACGAAGAAGAGGAAGAAGGATAGCCCCTACGGACACTTGCAACACTAGATTTGGACTTAGACAAGTCTCCAAACCATTATTCTAGCTTCAGTTTCGCTACCTAAATTTGATGGATGATTTGAGAATGGGTGTTAGCTGGAAAACTGGAAGTGAGAGAGAGAAAGTTAAGAACGAATTAATGAGCTAAGCCATAGAAATTAAACGGCCTTAGATGATAGAACTAATCTTGTTTTGGTTGTTTCAAGGCTTGCCTCTTGAATAATGTTTTGGGGAAGAAGATGGTTTTCGAATCTGTCCTTACTGTCCAGAGGCGTTTTTGGTTGTTCCTTCGTATGAAAATCTCACAGAAATATAATTTAAATGTTGAAGTAGACAGATTATATGTTAAATGAGTATCTTAAATTATTATAGCATGTTTGAATTCTCCCATGTGATGGTTAAGGCAATAATTGTAAAGCTGGAAACATTTTCAGATTTAAGGGGAAAACGATAAAAAAATTTAGAAGTGTATGAAGATGAATATTTGTTGAATCAAATTTTTGGATTAATTAAGAATGAAAATAGCTACTGTTTTGAGATATTATATCGAGGAATTAATGCCTTGAACCGCAAATAGCTCCAGTTAGGCTCCCTTGGTTTCCAATGACTATCAAATTGCATCAGTATCTTTCATGATTTTTTTTATTTCATAAAGTAAGGGAAAAAAAAGAAAGAGCATGTAAAGATTAAAAAAATACAAAAGAAAAATGTGAATCCCAAAGGATTATTTTTCATGTCATTTTGTCACTTTCAATTTATAGCTACTACCTTCTATTCTTAATACATGAGTTAGATAACTAATTTATGAATATTAAAAAAATTAATTAAATTAATTTTTTTCAACAAATGAGTTTTGTCTTTCTTAAAATACCCTTTATTAATTATATGCATTAGAATGAATAAAATGAGAGACGAAGTAGATAAGATCTTATATTTAAGATCAAATTGAATCTCTAACTAGCTTTTATATTTAGAAATGGCAGCAGCATAATAGTTACGGAACATTTAATTTAGCATATTCCTGCGTGTATCTTAGTTGTGACAAAAGGCAAAACATGGAATCAAATAATACTCGAAACACTATAAATCCAACCGCGATGAAGGCAGAATCTGATTCCTGACCCACATTTCTGATTACTAAAGCTTGTATCAATTGTATTTGTATGCATTCAACTTGATAAATTACCATGGAAAGTGATAAGAAGCATTCATAAATTAAATAAAAAGATTATAAAGAGGCATTATTTTCAAATTTCAGTTTCCGGTGAGATTCCAAGAAAGATTCTGTCCTCAAATTTAAGAAATTGTGAGAACTAATTCATAGTCACCGAGCATATTATTTTCCATTAACAAGGCAAATATAGCATTAAAATTGGTAATCAAATTGAATGAATCTCTAGAAACAACTCTTATGTAATACTTATCATAATATAATGAATGAAGTAATTAAAAAAATGGGTTAATACAAACTTTGCTCTTTCAAGTTTACTTTCATTTTGATTTTAGTCCCTCAAGTTTTTTTTTTTAAAAAATATTTATCCCTATAATCCAATAAAAACTTAAACCATTTTGTCCCTTGAGGGACCAAAACCTATGGTTTAACACTTGGAAGACTAAAATCAAAATGAAGGTGAATTTGAGAGACTAAATATTACGTTAACTCTAAAAAAAAAAATTTCAAGCAATTGCTACGTTACCACCATGTTAAATTTGAACATTGTTAAACCGAATTAAAAATAGCTCTTCTAACTTGATTTTTTTGGTTTGTAACAGTGCCATGATTAAATCCAAGATGATGATTGATGATTCTTGAATTTTATATATTTTATTCATTGGGATTTGAATTCATGATAATTTCTCACCAAAAAGAAGGATTTAAAAATGCATTCCTTGATTTAATCATCTCACAACAGACATGCAATCACAAAGAAAGTAATACAAATCAATATTATTGAACTGTAGGAATCTGGATTACTACACGCAAAAACCAAAAATTATTCACTTTTACATGCACACAATAATGAATCATAATTGCGTTACAGTACAAAAAGCAGAAAATGATTAACGAAACTTAGTCACAAATTTTATTCCATTACTAATCAACTAATGATGCATTAGAAATTTGTTGTTGATTAGAGATGAAATTCACAATTTCATTGCTAATCAATTAGCGACAATGGAATTAGTGACAAAAATATTCCATTGCTAATTTCATAACTAAGTTCTGTCACTAATTTATTTTTTTTTCAAGGAGAAGGAGGCTTATCGTTTAATTTTTTGAACCTAATTGCTTCTTGAGGTTGACAATCGTGAGAATAAAGCCAAGAATAGCAGATATCAGGCCTATGATTGTCCATGGGGTGTTGAAATGCTTGCGCTGCAGCTCAATAAACCAAATCCTCACTCGACGTTTGTAAATCTTCTCGATGTCTTGTCTTACCTCTTTATAAATTCCTGTGTCAAGCACCAAGTCAGTGCTCACAGTGTTGAAGACTTTGGCCACTTCTTCATCGCTACCAAGATGGTTGTTTAAAACCCCAGCTTTCCTCAACACTTTCACATCATCTGCATGATCAATCAAGGAATTTAAGAAGGAAACATAGTTACTGATCTCGTAATTGCTCTTCAGATTATCTGGGCACATCTCGTACGCCATCATGTTCAAGAACATTTGAGCTGTGAAGTCATCCACTGTGAGCGGGGGAACGAAGAGCTTACCACCACGCACATAGATGTTCGTGAGATTCTTCTCATCGTTTTTCTTAATTTTAATCCCTGATGTTATAAGTTCCTGTATGTTCCTATGTGTTGGAGGCTTGGGAGGGTACTTGGGGACTTCATTTTGCTGCATACCAACTATCGTTGTTTCTTTCGTCTGATCAAGAACCACTATGAATGAGATTAGAACTTCCAGCAAATGGGCTGGCTGATTGATCACTTGAGATTGTGGGGCGATGTCGCGTGCTTCAAGGAAAGAATTTATGAAACGCTTTGTGAGACTCGTCAATGCAGAATCGTCCTCGTTGCTTAATATGCTCAAAACGTTATATGGAAGCTGGTTCTCCAACAAGAGCAGATCATTCTGCACAATAATGTACAGTGCTTGAAATTTTGACGGTTCCACTTTGTCCATGATATGAAGCACAGCACAACCATCTACGAACAAGATCCAAGCCAGCTCGTCATCTGTGTTGAAGCCTTGAATCACATCATCAGCATACAACTTCTTCAATTCTTGGATTTCAGACTGGATATTTTGAAGTAGTTTCTGAGCGTCTTTACCTTGCAGGTACTTTGATGCCCACGTTTTCTTGTACTCTTCTCCTTGCTCAAGATGATTCTTCGTTGTTATCTCACCTTTGGGACGATGATGAATGGGACCAATGGATACCATCTTAGGAAAGTAATACCGTTCAAACTCAGATCGGTTTCGAAGATATGGTGGCACCTGTCACATATAGGCATGAACAGTCATTACTGTACTCTAGTTAACAAGTCAAGATTTGGGACCAACACAGAGGCTGCTGGATCTCTCTGGGTGTCAAGTGCGAGTTCCTAAGAACAGTTACGAAACCTGAACTGGATTGGTTGGTTGCTCAAATATTTGGTAATCAGATCAAGAAAAAGCACCGGCTAACGGATAATAGCTAGTATGGAAAAAACAAGTCATAGTTTGGAAGGTTTGGTATAACGTGCCTGTATCTAGTGATGAAATGCTGCATCTTTTATGATTTTTTAAAGAAAAATACTCTAATATTCCTTCGGGCACATCTGATAAAATTGGGAAAAAAAAAAACTATAAAATCACGTGGTTTCAGATTACTTTCTTTGAAAAATCTGCTGATGGTCAATGTTTTTATGGTGGATATCAATATATCACTCATTTCATATAGAATATAGTCTAATAATTAAAAAAAAAAACCAAAAAAATGGAAAGTTTTCGCCATTACAAAGGACATGAGATGGAAGCACACATTAAAGGCCCTGAAATAATGATTATATATGTAGAACATAACCATTTACGAGTAAAGAATGTGTGTGTGTGTAAAGAGTTTTCTAGACGGAAAACATAGAACCTTTTGTATCTTGGCCAGGTTACCAGAAGAAGATTGCTCCGGCCTCTGCTGATGCGAATTCAATAAAGAATTTAATTCATCTTCCAATGTGAATGATGAGGGCCTCATGAAATAATGATGAAGTAATTAGCCGATCACAAGAGATGAGAATTTTTAGTGTAGGTTGTTCAGTATTTCAGCCACGTCCTAAGGTGCCTCTGAATTTAAACTAAACAACTGTCCTCTCGTTGGAATCAACTGGCTGAGATACGCAAGCAACATATTGAGGAAGCTGTGTGAGATTTTTTTTTTTGGCGCCAAAAGAAGTGTAGATTTGATTTATTAAAACTCCAAGTTTCGAACCATATATAAATATATATATATATATATATATATATATAGACACCTAATATTTCACCTCTATTTTGAATGCAAATTCTACCCATCTTATGTCATGCATATCATATCTGGCTAGGCAAAAGAGCATCTTTAGTTTTTTTTTTGTTTTTTTTAATTTCACACAAAATTTCATTTTGGTCTCAATTTTATAAAGCGTTATTTCAGCCATTGTAATAATAAATGTTGACAAAATATCATTTTTACAACAATAATTATTGTTACATCATGAAAAATTATCATTTGAGATTAATGATATCAGGATTAGAGTAATGAAAATATAATATGTATAGTGCGTACATAGGCTTTGAAAGGTAATGAAGAAAAGTTTATCGGGAAAAAATAGTGACAATTATTTGCTACTACTTCAAGTCTATAATATAAGAGCTAGTTGACTAATTTGAGTAGATTAAAAAAACTAGTTAAATTAGTTATTTATAATAAATATGTGTTGTCTTTCCTAAAATATTATTACTAATTAAATATATTAGTTAAAACTACCATTATTACAAGAAATACTTTGGGCAAAAAATGAATAAATATGAGAAATAAAATAGATTTAGGTCTTATATTTAAGATCAAAAATCAAACAAGCTCTTATATTAAGGACTTGAGTTAGTATTTGGCAATAAGACAGATATAGATAAGTTGTCACGAACCAAAAAGGATCGTCATATTGTGACCGAAGCTTTATTACTAGCACTTGAAGTAAGGAACAAAGCATGTGTACTTTGACTCGAAATTGAAATGATATACGTTCTAGCCCCTGAATCTATATACTCCCTTAGATCCTAAATGTAAGAGTTAAAAAATGGTTTACTTTGGCTCTAGACATAACACTTTAACTCACTTTATCACCCAAATTTAAAATTTTTTTTCTAAATTATTCTTGTTGATTGCATATATTAAGGAGGTTCAATTAAGGAATATTTTTTAATGTAAATGATTAAAATGAATACTCTAAAAAAACTGCTACATATTTTTTTACACAAATAACTAACTAAACTAATTTTTTAATCTTTGCAAATTAATTATCTAACTCCTGCTATTATGAGGACCGTATAGAGCAGTACCTATTACATAAGCTTTGGAAGGTAATACAAGAAATTATTTGGTGAGAAGGTAGTGATAATATAATTTGACACTTACTTTCTAACATTGCCCTTGCTATGCGTTTGCTGTCAGCTTTGTTTACTTTACCTACCAAACATTTCTTCTAACCATTACTCTGATTTCATATTCTCTTCCGTCATAAATGTAATAGATAATAAAAAATTTAGTTTAATTCTAAATATAAAACTTTAATTTATTTTGTTTGCCAAAATGAAATTTTTTTAAGCTTCGTACACATAAGAGGTTTTCATCTAGAGAGTTTCTAATACAAATAATTAAAAAGAATACTTTAAAAAAATTAATATAAACATTTACAAATAACGAACTTATTAATAACTAATTTTGTAAGCCCTACGAATTAGTTATTCAACTTCTAGGTCCAGGATTGGAAGGAGTCTTTATCAATTTGAATTCTTTTATAATCATAAAATAAAATAGTGGACAAAATTAGAATAAATAAATTTCATAGATAGTAATACTCTTTCATGTTTTTTTCCCCTTCTCCTCCACTACTTTAAAAAATTAGCCAATTAAAAATCAAAGAAAGAAAGGGCTAGCATATAGAGAATAAATACAAAATAATTGTAATTAAAAGTAAAATTTCAAAGAAAAGAGAATTTAATTCTTTTTCAGTATATACCTACAGTAAGTATAGAGGATTTAATTTAGCCTTCTTGTTTTTCAAAGGGAAAAAAAAATTAGTCTTCTTGCATAGGTTACCAGCTTCGATATATATGAAAAGGTAACATTTCCAAGGCAACAAGCATATAATTCCATTTTTTTATTTTTCGTGAACAAGAAGGATAGAGTTTATTACTTGGAACATAAGATATCCATACGTGATACATGCAGAATCTAATAGAATTAAATTACCTCACTCAGAATTTATTTCATTATTTTCTCTTACACGCTTTTCACAACCATTTATTCCGGCCGAAATTGTTCCAAGAGAATTTAACGCTTTCTTTGGGCCCCGCAAAAAAGATTGTTGTTCCAAGAGTAAAGTAGTTCTTTGAATAAATATATATTATATTTGACATCAACATTGGAGATAATTTTAGTAAAGGACCGCTGTACGTAGTAGCACCTTATTTGAAAATCAGAACCAAGAAATTCTGAAAAGCCATTGCAGACCCTAGAGACTGAAATGAGAATTAGTTTACCTGAAAATTAAGGAAAATACCCTTAACTTTTTTTTTGGGAAGGGGTTGTGCTCAACCCAAGTCAAAGGTAAGGTGCTTGGTCCGTCTCCTCCTAAGTAATATCATGTTAGGTTAGGTGAACCTACAACAAACCCTCAGACATTTATTTAGAAATTTCAGGATGTTTTCCCAAGCGTCAGAATGGGAAATCTAAATTCTTTCCTTTTTGATGAAAGGGTGTGGTCACCAACAATGGGTAAAATATTCTACTAAATTTCGTCTCCAATTTGCTGCTTTTTTTTTTTTTTTTGTAGTGGCTACTAAAAGCTAAGTCCAGTGCAGCACAGCGTACTAATTTTGAGCACAGCACATTGCGCGTGGCAGCACAGTAAAATCGGGTTGTTAGGCTAAATTTAGAGCACCCACTTGGATGACCCAGCCTAACTCATTATTTTAGGTGATTTCTAGGGGCTAAGTTCGATTAAAACCACCTTGATTCACTATACCATTGGCCTCCAACGCTCTCATCTTCATCCCCATCGTTTTCCAATTTCCACCATTTTTTCCTTGTCTTTTCATCTTTTCCATCACTCCTCCCCGGGCGCTACCTTCTTGCTTCAATTTGGAGCCAAGAGTATAATTGTGCGTGACTGAATTTAAAAGTACATCCCTAATTAATTATAGATTTGCTGACAGAAATTTTTCATCATGAATTTGTCAATAGTTAGTGACAGATATCCAACATAAATTCTATCACAACATAGTAACGGATTTGTAACGAAAATTCCATCACAAATTGGTGATAGAAATTTTTATTACTAATCCGTTGCTAAATTTTTTTTATTTTGTAAATTTAAAAACCATGTGGCAATCATTGATTGCTGCCATGTTTCATGTTGGTGACCACCACCTCATCTCTTCTTCTCTCTCTCATGTCACCACATCATTCTTTTATTTATGTCATCGCCACATGTCCATCATTGTGGGCTACCACATTGTTGTTGATTGCCGCCACGTTTCATGTTGGTGACCACCACCTCATCTCTTCTTCTCTCTCTCATGTCACCACATCATTCTTTTATTCATGTCATCGCCACATGTCCATCATTATGGGCTACCACATTGTCATTGATCGTCACATCACCTCCTCCTCTTCCTCCTATAACACCACATCATTCCCTCATCTACATTGGAGTGCTGCTTCAAACTTGAAACCTCCTGTACACATGTTAAAGCCTTTGTTAGTTGAGTTAAGAAGTAACTGTGAAATTTTTGTGTAAAAATAAATATATATAATATTTCTAATAATAAATACAAATATATATAATAAATATTATATATGTAATTTAATATATATATTATATAATTTAATATACTGTTATTTTTTTCAATTTAATTTCTGTATTTTAGTAAAAACATTTCTCGTAATTAATATTTTTATTCAAATATTTAACAAAACAATAAGTATATTATATACTTTTATTTGTATTTTTATATAATATATTATTTAAAAATTATGATATATTGTATTTTAATTTTAATAATAAATATTAAAAATAATTGTTGCATATTTATATTATATTTTTTGTGACGAATTAGTGACAAAATTGCAATAAAAGCTAGTGACTGAAAAATTCTGTCACTAATTCCGTCACAAAATTTTTTGTGATCAGAGTTAGTGACAGATTAATAAGAAAAATTAGTGACCAAAAATTTTTATCAGTATTTTTCATCACTAATCCTTTTACAACAGAATTTGTGACGCATTTGTAATAAAATTTAGCAATAAAATTAATTTGTTTCCTAATTTAGTCACTAATTTAGCTGCAAAAATTTTTCGTCATTGAATTTTATCGCTAATTTTAGTGACAAAATTTGTGATAGATTAGCAATGGATTATCAACAGAATAAAATTTCATAGCTAAAATTTGTCACTATTTTTTTTTTTTTGTAGTGAGTGAAGCTATGTGCTTCTGTCCTCTTGATCACTTTTGTCATTTTGAAATCCTATTGGTCCTTGTTTGTGATTCTTTTGGTTTTCTGACAACAACGATTTGGATTCTTATCTGTCATTTATCACATTTGCTCCAATTTCACAAATGATCTGCAATAAAAACATCTCCCAAAATAGACCTAATTTAGAGTAATCATATAAATATGACAATGTTATTACCTTTAATGTTACTTTGATGCAATTATCCTTTGAACAGCATAAAGCATAAAAGATGCAATGATGTCCCAAATACATCATATAAACCCCACAAAAAGCGTATGAAATCCTGTACAAAATACCGAAACTAGGAGCACATCAACCTTCACATTTGTCCTCAAAGTGGGCTTTTTTAATAGAGAGAATGGAAAGAAAAAAAACTAAAAATTACTAAATCCCAAATCAGGTTTAGGAGCAACACTTCATTCAGTGTTGATGACATGAAATTTGCAAATGACAACAATTTTTTGTTAATATTTCTCATTTGACATT